AACCCGTTACTGCTTTACTGGCTTTAGTTTTACGACCGTTTTATAAAATGTCAAACCATATGAAGATAGAGCACACACCAAGGGAGCAGGACCTCACCCATTCTACAAATGAAGAAATGGTATTTTCCAGCAGGTCTGAAGTTAGTTGACAACTCGCCAAATATTAATGGATACAAACACAAAGTTGTCTTCATTGCCCAAAAGAGAAGCCTGTTCCTTTACCCTTTCATGGAAATCAGGAGAATCTGAATTTGGACCATAAATATTCACCAATATAAACCCGTTTTCTGCGATAGTAATATCGATCATGATCAAATTACCCATGCCATAATTAACAGTGTTGTGTATCTGGTACTGTGTATCCTCTAGTTAACATTTTGATTAAACAAGATGGCAACCCCACGCAAGTTGCTGTTTTTTTTAATTGAAATAACAATCAAAACCTAACTGTGGTCTAATAATTGACCCCTGATCTTTGGTTTGAAGTGAAGTGTGTTTAAAGTTACGGTACAACTAAGGAAATAAAACATTGCTGGTTTCTGTATAGAATAATTACTCGAATATTAACCACAAGTACTAACACTTTTTGGCTTAAACATAAACATATTCAGAGTGATCTTTGTGTTTTTGTAATAAGCAAAGGGAAACTATTAGCCACTTATTATGGAAATGTGATGTTATTAAGAATTTTTGGAAAGAGTTTCTGCAATGGTTAGGCAAATGTGATCATGTCTACAACATGCAACTATCTGCAAAGCTTGTCTTGTTTGGTGTAAAGGAAATTGTGATTACTGACAAGATATTTGACTTTCTATTGCTCAATGCAAAGTTTTTTTCTGTGCAAATTCCTAAATGCAAAACCACTTTTTACTCTTTTCGAAAAAGAAGCTTCATATAGATATATACTCGAGAGAGAAATTTACAAATAGTAATCAACTCAAGTTTTATAAAAATTGGATGCTTTATCACAAGCTTCTTGAGAGCAAAGCAGCCTAGTGTTAATGAATTCCTTAAATTACTAATGTATTTAATTTTGTTGCAAGGGATCAGTCAACAGAACGTTTTTCTAAAATAATAGATTATTGAAAACTACAAGCAATATTTCGTCATGTGTGAGTGGATGTTGGTGTGTGTATTTTTGTAATTCTTAAAAAAATTGAGATCAATGTAATGTGACATTACGCTGTAAGGGGTCCGGTGGTAGTTTGGACACGGACCTCTAAATGTAACAGGTTTTTATCTGGAATAAAAAAACCCAAAAATAACCACAAAGTTGTATTCCAAGTACAAAATGAACAAAATGTATTCCGATATGTGTAGACATACATGTACAATAACACATGTCAAGCATAAGTTTAATGCTGCTGAGATTATGTGTGAATGTCAGATTTTATGTATGGTCCTATGCAGATAAGTACTAAGAATAATTTGTATCTGTGTCCATAACAGTGGTAACAAAAGACACTGGCCACAAAAAGGATACAGCTGGGATAGTATCAAAACCATTTTTATCAATGGCATTGTGTGCATTCATTTCTATCAAGATAATGACACAGACTTATGATACTAACACATGGACATGATGGAGAATCATTCAAATAAATAATTATCACAGTAGGGCCATCATCAACACCTTGTCCCTGAGTGTTATTGAGTGTTAAATTTAAAGGGACAAGAAACAGAGAAAACCATAGTATTCGGCTAACCTTGACAACTAGAAACAAGTTATCTGGTGCAAAATGTGTCACACTAATGTTGTCCTAGATTGAGTATAAGATAGGCTTCATAAACTTTCATAGATAACCATTTGCTGAGCTAGTCATGTGCCAATACATGTTGGTGCTAAAACTTCAATTTGATTCACACATTACACTTCGAGTCATATTGCTCCAGCAATAACAAAAATTTCCACTTGTTCAAGGGCAGCTCAATAACAGTGATGAATAGTCTGTCTCACAGTCCCTGAACCGCAACATTTTCCCTTCTGCTTACATGCCTTCAATGAAGCAAGTCTATATTTCCTCATGTTCAGGTTCTGAATCTGCCCGGCTCCTTTATAATTTAATGGGATTACTGTAAATGTAATATATATCGCGGAGGTTTTATTTTTGCGCAAAATATTTTACCGCGAAAATTTATACACAGTGAATAAACCTTTCATTCATTGTATTATTTACAGGGATTAAGATTACCGCACAATAATATAACAGGACGAATTCTGACGCAGTCATCAGTAAAATATAATACAGAATACTATTATTTAACCCAACGAAATATATACTAGCATTGTGTAATTTTAATTACAGTTTTTGCTCTATAAATTAATTAAGATTAAGATTACCGTGTGTATTTGAGTCGGAAATAGCAATCAGCTGTGCACACGTTTCCCGGCGAACAAGTTCAAACATGCACAATAATATAACGGGATGAATTCTGACGCAGTCATCAGTAAATTTTAATACAGAGTACTATTATTTAACCCAAAGAAATATAGCCTAGCATTGTGTAATTTTAATTACAGTTTTTGCTCTATAAATGTAAAATATATATAATCAACACTAACGTTATACGGACCCTCATTTCTTACTATCAAACTTACATATATTCAGAAAATATGCATTTAGCTAAGTGGTGAACTGTGGTTCTACATAATATATGTCATATAGGAATAAACAGTTTGTGATTGCATTTCACTGATAAACTCTCAAGTGATGACTATGGATGTCACAATAAATGAAAAAATGTGTCACAATAAATGTAAAAATGTGTAACCAATGGTAACACAATGTAGACAACAGCAACCTTATCATCACATTAACATTTAAGATCTTTTTGGCATGTCAAGTGTAGATTAGACATCTTTCCAGTTCTGAATCATTGTGAAAAGGGCATTTTCAGAGATACACGTATCTTCCAGATTGTGAACATAGTTAGCAATAGTTAGTGTCAAACAATTGCATTCATGAAAGAACCTGCATCTTTGGGTTATTTTAGGTCAAACAAAAGACCAAACTCATAATAATTTGGGGAACTTAACAATCTGTATTGCAAGGACAGGTTTTCAAATGTAAACAATAATGACAACCAAGAATGGTTTAGCATGGATGTGATATATGCTAAACAGGCTAACCACACTAATCCACTGATATAACATTGTGTAGCGTCACTGAGCACCAGCGAAATTTAGGCACTTTATCATGTTTATAATGCATTATCATATCTGAATATAAACTTAATGAAATAAACATGATAAACTTTGACATCCATACAACATGCATGATGTGAGGGGTTATAGCTGAAACGGCCCCAGGCAGAACGGCCCCTAATTGGCTAAAACGGCCCCATGACTATACGACCCCATATTTGCCAAAATGGCCCCAAAATAATCAGTTTATTTCAATGTGTGTCCTTAGTCATAAATGATGGATCAAAACGCATATTTTTCAATTACTTATTAAATTAATTAACTTTGACATTTTCATCATGATTTTATTCTGTTTAAATGGCCATGACGCCAATAATACATGTGGAAGATATGAATCAAACGAATTGAATAATGTACAGATCTCCTAACAATATTCGATGTGAGCAGCCACTCATGATTATACTAAACCACAATTCAACAATTGTAAATTAGTAATTGATGAACACAATAAATAAAAATACAATTTGGAGAAATTCCTTATGACTATATTAATGCTAAATGGGATCATAAATGATTGTGAAAAATGGGCTAGATTTCTTCACCTTTATCATGATTTGGGTACCCTAAGTGTGTCAGCTGTGAAAACTTGATTGCTCGGTTAGTAAAAGAATTAGTTTTTGATCATTATTATTATAAAGAGAAAAATACTGTAAGTCATAAAAAAAATTACATTTTATTAAGCATTTGTTAAAATGGTTGGGGTTGTGTTATTTGCTAAGCTCTAAACATGCTAAATGTAGGCACATGTATGAAATGTGAACGTTTGTATGTGTTGAGAAGCTTTTGATATTTGTCAGTTGGTTTGCTTTAAAATTCTTGTCTCCAGATGACATCTAAATATGAAACAAAGTCAGTCCAATTCCAAAAGTAATTATTTTTACTTATTTTACTGTTTTAATGTTGTCTAATTTTGTGAACCAACTGATATAAAATTGACCCAAAGAGTTCTAAAAGCATTGTTGTGGCTACAGGAACCAACCATGTCAGTTGCCCTGAATTGTCACACAAAGCATTCAGGACATGACCCCAAACTCTATCCATGAATGAACGTGTTATCTGGTGTCATCAACCATGTACTTCTATCATGTTTATTTGAAGAGCCAAGCTATCTCAGTATCCCCATATAAGCTCCAAAGAAAGAACCGACTATAATGCAGGGTGGGTGGAATACCAAATCTGTTTGATCATGATATATTTCCAAACATAAATATATGGTGAAACAGAACTAATTGTGGTAGACTGGATTTGGGGAATGAATGAAAATGTCCGTTGTTAACCTCTTGAGGAAAATGGCCTGCAAAATAAGGCAACATATACAAAGATTTCAATCGTATTCTAACTCCCACTAAACGTCATAGCTTCAGGCAATGCAGCCGCATGGCTGAACATGACATCATGTGATGTGCTTGCGTTAGACTTTGAACTTGATATTCTTGCAATTTATGTAAGTCGAAGAGAATAATTATTTTTTAAAAAAGAACAGTGGCTATTGTTCAAGGTTACTTGACAACCCGACCAAGTGTAAGAGAACAACAGGGTGATCAACGATGAATGACTTATCAATCATCCACCGTAAAAGAATGCTAGCAAACAAAAACGTCCAGCTGATCTGTCGTGTGTCAGGCCTGGAGCAGACGAAATAACACACGAGGATGGTAACATCGACCGATATATCAACACACTGCATCCAAAACTGACCACATTAGAAACAACATTCGTCTGCACTTTCCTGTCAGTTATCGCTACACACTGTAAAATACGTCGCAGTTATAAATGATTTTTCGATCAAACTCACCACCACTGTTTTCACGATTCCTGCCATGTTATTCTACTGATCTCGCAAGTTCTCGTCCAATTTTCATATAGCATGAAAGGGTCACGTGACGGATAGCGGGATTTTGCGATACGACAGCATGGCGGAAGTCGACCGATGTATAAGGATGTAATTCCTTGTTCTTCCATCAAATCATACCTCCAACATTCTCTCTATCAGTGAACTAATTAAAGGTAACTGATTATTGATAGCTTTGGTTCGATTGTATGAACCGATATTTCATCTAATGAGGCTATAGTTACGACGATAAGACTTGAAAGTAGAGAGTCCCTGCGGGGAAAGTTTATTTTTGGTGTTTTACACCCAGTACTTTCCGTATTATTCCGCCCGCTGTCAAAATTTAAGAATCCACACATGTGTCTCTGGTCACGCTTTGATATATTTCTATTCTAGGTTGAGAGTAGACTCAGTTTAAATCAGACTCTATGCATCTTAATATCACATTTACGACTGACCCTCATTATACACCCCCAAAACATCAACAAAATGGATCTGCCCCTTTATTTATTTTTTCGCCCTAGAGATAAAACTTATGTCTTGCAAACGTATTTATGTGAGAAATATGTTTCTTGTTAAATGTTCATAATCAATGAATTCTTGTTTGTTTGTGTATAATGAATTTGACCTATTTGTCATTATTGACACAAGTGTTTTACACACCCCAAAACTATTCAGTATATATGTGTATTGTTTACCAATAGTGCATTCCGATTATGTCTACATCATTAAATTGTTTGACATGTTACTTGTGCAAAGTAAAATACTGAGTCAGCATTGCTAAAATCTTTGAAAGGACAGCTTAAGAGTGTTGATCAAGTCAGAAGCCTTATGTTTAGCAGATACAAATTCTTATGATCATGAATAATCACAGGTGTGATTAGCATAGTTATTTGTTGTATTGACATGTTCATTCATAATACTCATATATGAACATTGTTTGGAAATAAGGATAAACCTGAGCAGTTTTTGTCATAACTCCAGTGTTAAGACTTAATGGTTTTGGAGGTCACACATCTATAAAAGGTAATTAAAGCAAATGTAATAGTATGAAGAACCTTTTTTCGGATACAAACAACATATTTTTAAATATTTCACAGCTGTTTGTCAATAATATATCATGTCACACACATATGTTGACGTGATGTCTGACATTTGAAACATACCACAGCATGAGGAACTAGAATAACAGTGACTCATGACTACTAGTACTATGATGATGAAGAACTGCACAAAGACATCATATCTTACTGTAGTGATTGACTATAGGCATTGTAGAGGTATATTACATTTTGATTTTCTATGTTATTTGTTTCTCTATGAATGTTAATGATATGAATGATTGATGTTCATTTCTGTGTAGTAATAATTGTGAGAGAATACAGGTGACGTTAGCAATGTTTAGAAGCTTGATCACTGTTGATAATTATTCTTTGTTCTTTTAGCCATTCATTTGCAATATATGTAACTCCGAAGTTGTCAAGTGAGTTGTAGAAACGAGTTATGTTCTCCAAAGTTATAGTGTTGCATAAGTAACTCTTTCCAATTGAATTTTAAACAATTTGGGCTTTGCTTATACGTCTACCACCTTAGACCACTTGGCATTTGGTAGAAGACTTACACATGTTGAATATAAAGCCCTTGCTGTCAAAATGTTAATATATCATATGTTACATATATAGTATTAGAAATTAAGCATCACAGTGAAGGTATCCTTGTTATTACCCTTGGGGTAAAATTAAAGATGTACATGTGTTTTTAGATTCATATACTATGGAATCAAACCACAAGAACATTGCATCTGACTAAACATTAAAAATGACTGATAATGATGATGAAGATGATTTTTTTTCTTTTTTGAAATATTTGCAATGTGATCTCTTTAAAGAAATATCTTAGTTTTGCAGGTGAACAATGATTGCAGAATTGTTTTTGTTGTAGAATAACAGTTCAGTAAATGCAAATGATTTAGTGGATTAGTTAGTGGATATAGTTATATTAACATGGCATTTATGAGGACCCCACTATATTCATCAGTTACCAGCAAAATGTGACTCCAGTCTAGACATTCCACAAGTGGTTAACAAGTGGTATTTATACATTTATGAATTACTGTTGCTATACCCATAGTAACTGTTATTTTGTTCCATTTCAGATGGGAGATAACTTTTGCCAGAGGTGTTTGGAGTAATGGCGACTATCTGTGTGGTTTGGTGGTAGGCCTTTGCTGGCCCGAAAATGGCAAGCAGGACAACCCAGAGTCCCTCACGCATTCCAATCCCTGTTCGAAGCCCTCCGCCTCCCATGAATGGGCGTCTGGCAGCTAGAGAACAAAGGGAAGCCAACAAACTGAAGGAAAAGGACAGTCTTACTTTGACGGTTCACGAAAACGGTATTGTAGAGGAGGTGTCTCCTACATCTGTTTCTCCGCAGAACAGGAAGGGAAAAGGCTTTGAAACATTTCTCATGACAGGAGACATGATAATCAAAACTACTCCTCCACATCAGCCGAAATCCAGGCAAGATGGCAGCAAGTCTGGCACCCCGAAGAGTGGCGGGGAGGATATGAGTTACAGTGATGTGGATGGAAGTATACGCAGTGACCAGTCCAGCCTGGCCTATTCCCCTCACCTCAATCTGTCTGGGGTATCGCAGACTGTGAAAAATATACCATCTCCAGCCTTTCCTCTTGAGCTTCCACGGGCACCTGTTGCTACTGTCGAAGACCTTAGTGATATGTCTCAGTCCTCAGGGCGCGAATCACTTATAGCCTCTCTCAATGAAAAAATGCAGCTTTCACAAGGAGAAAAAGTGTCTCCCGTCACTGAGGACAGTTCCCAAGAGGCTGTGAGGTCGCCAGTTGAGGTGATAATTGTCAATGGTGATCGTGGCTCAGACAAAAGTTTACAGGATGTACCAAGTTCCGGTGATAGCGGTGTGCACCCTGACATCCACAGCTCCGACTCAGATGTGGGAGAGAAATCTTCTTCTCTTCCGGAAGTGCCAAATTCAGAAGATGCCATCAATCGGGTCATGGTCACCAGTAAAAGTGCAGAGAAAATTACAAGTCAGCCGAAACAAGCCCAGCCACAGCAGTTAGTAAGAACCAGTAAAAGCCATGAGAATTATTTAGAGTCTGGAAATGCAATGCAGCTCGTGTCTATAGACATAGATGACAACATGGCTTATTCCTTGGACCAGCTTGCCTACTGCAATGACAGTTCCACTGCCTCCCTTGATAATGTTAGTGAGCCTGCTTCCCGGAGTTTACACAACTCTCCGGAAAGGAAGCCAACAGAAAAGACTTCTGAGCGAGTGTTCATGCCTGCATTCATAAGTCTTGATGATCCAAAACCGCTAAAAGCCAAAGTGAAAGATAAACAGAAAGACGATGATTCACCAAATGGCTGTGGTGAAAAACTATCTGTAAATAATAGTGCTTTGGAAACCAGTAGTTCGGGATCAACTCATTCACGTCGGTTTAATTCGAGTGACGAGTTCGATGAAGTACAAGACATCAACCATATAGACCTGGATTTGGAATTCTCTGATGCAGAGAGTCTTTACCATCAGCCAATGAAGGGAGTGGATAGACCGTCTGCTTCCAGACTGGCTAAAAGATTGTTTATGCTCGATGGTTTTCGTAAGAGTGATGTGTCAAGGCATTTATCAAAAAAGTAAGTATTTTGTTTACTCATTGCTTAGGTAGTTGTCAATATGTTTTGTGAATTTTGAATTGAATGGTTTATTTGTCAGTTCATGATAGCTATAACTTATGAAATGTATCAAATCAAATCTTCATCCATAGTTGCGTGAGCAATGGATCATTTGATTTGTTTGTGGGCAGAGGTGGATGGGAATGGGATTTGGCTATGAAATAAACCACAGTTTGTTTGAACTTCTTAGTGGGTAGGTGTTAGGGCACAGTGTAAAACAGTTTGTTTTTGCAACCTGCTCTACCCTGCAATAAAGCTGACTTAAAAAACCTTCTCTTTCTTATGATACAGACTGACATCAGGGTTTCTGTCCATCATAGACTAGAACAATCCCTCCTCATTAAATGTTCAGGATGAAAAGATATTCAGGACTTGCCTGCCAAACTTCATATTCCTTGCTAACCATGAAGATCCGGGTTAGAATTGGTCTTCAGCAACCCATGCTTGTCGTAAGAGGCGACTAATGGGATAGGGTGGTCAGGCTCGCTGACTTGGTTGACACATGTCATCATATCATAATTGAATAGATCGACGCTCATGCTGTTGATCACTGGATTGTCTGGTCCAGACTTGATTATTTACAGACCGCCGCCATATAGCTTGAATATTGCTGAGTGCGGTGTTAAACAACAAACCAAGCAACCATAATATTCCTTGATCATATTGCTTGAATTTATTAAGTTGAAACGCAAAGTATAGGTTCAAGTATCCCTTGGCTTCCAGTTTCATGTATAATTTTGCACATTATGTCTTGCTATTGCAATGATAATACTTAAAATATTGATAAAGGGTATGACATGGTACACTAATTAACAATTGTATCCAAAGTTAAGTAAACAACAATATTTTTCAAAAAGTGATCATTGATTTAGCATTTATTTAATTACAGCCTCCTACAAATCACCCAAATGTGGGCAGGTGAAGTCAGTAAGTTCAGGACACCTGTTTCACCAGGTTAAGCAACATTGTGTATCATCCCATGTTTAAATTACTGAATATGCATATAATGTTTTGGTGTGTATTCAATATGCTTTCTATTCATTAATAATATTAAGAGTGGGTGTAAACAATTAATGTTTAATATTTAAACCTTACCATGCTAACCACATGCTTACCCATCAGATATTTATCGGCGGTGATATCCTGACTTGCAGGATGTAAATTGACTGGAAAACAAACAAGACCACAGGACTAAGCCTGCGAAAAGTTACTAGCACTTACGGAATTAGAAGACTTTCACAATTCAATCTTTATTGTTGAATAAATACATTAAATTATTTAATCTCCGTCAGACTATATAGATTGGGGGAACTTGGAAATTGTGTACTTTAAGAGTACAGCACACCCTATTCTTTCTGAAAATACCT